AAGTTCCACCCCCGTTGGAAAAATTTTTTTATGCATTTTACATTTTTTTTTTTTAGGTGGGGGCTATATTTATATTATAAAATTTTTCCTATAAAGTGCCCCAACCGTAAATACGTCATGCTGGATCCGCCCCTGGACCTATTAACGCTAATGACTGGTACGAATTTGGAATTAAAATTGTAATTAAGTTAGTTACATAAGCAAAATGTTGCTGGCATTATAGAATCTGGGGGGGATGGCTGCATGAAGTTGCCCCCTGTCTTATTTTGCTTATAGCGGCAGGGAAATGATTTGCAAATTCTGAAAACCAATTTGCAAATATTTGCAAATTATTTGCAAAATGTTGGTGTCATTTTGAAATCTGTAGCTCACAAGGGGGGGTTCGTGAAGTTGGCCCCCCATGTCTTATTTCGCTTACATCGGGCAGGGAAATGATTTGCAAATTCTGAAAACCAATTTGCAAATATTTGCAAATTATTTGCAAAATGTTGGTGTCATTTTGAAATCTGTAGCTCACAAGGGGGGCTGCGTGAAGTTGGCCCCCCATGTCTTATTTCGCTTACATCGGGCAGGGAAATGATTTGCAAATTCTGAAAACCAATTTGCAAAATGAGTACATAATTTTCAAAAAAATCGGTCATGGTGGGGGGGGGGGCCAACTTCACGCACGTACATGCAAGCACAATCAGATGGCGATTATAAGTTCATATCATTATCAGGATCATCTAACAAAATATATTATGCAGATTATTTGTATAAATACTTCACAATTTACATTGCCCAATATACCTCGGACATTGTATACAATGCCCGGTCACTGTGTACAATGCCCGGGCATTGTATACATTGCCCGAATTTTCCACTTTGCCCGTAACATATATATGTATATTTCAACATATCGAGCTCAGCTGTGGGTTTAAATTCGATTTCTATTATGTTTTCTAAATCAGTCAAATTTTGTGTCATTTGATAAATTTGACTCATTATTGTGAAAAAATGTTATAATAGGGCCTTCTAAATATAGAGGTAAACATTTTATTTCCTTTTTGTCAGACCACCCATTCGTGCTAGCTACTCTATTATAATTTTTTATAAATGTATGTTTTCTGAAATGAGGTTTTTTTTTTGTGTTTTCCATTTTGATTGAAGATAATAATAAATACATTTGGCTCAGATTCTACGTTAAAATATTGTGTTAATCTATTTTTTAATTTTTTATTACTTGACTAAAAATCATTGTTTCAATTAAATTGTATTTTATTAAATAATTATATATTAGTTGATAAGTATTAAACAATTCATACCTCTATGGCTCTATGTAGACTGAATTAAGCCGGTCAAACACTGAACTTAGTTCCATAACCAACAAATTAAAACATTGGAATTTTGTTCTCAACATTTTATGTTGTTATACGTGTATATTGAAATGTTAATTTTACTGGCTATGGATAATATCAGCATATAGCATACAAGCAACATTAAAACTTGACTGAACAAAATTATTTTCATATTACATCACATTACAATAGTCTTACCTCTTACAATGGTAATAAGGTATACACAAAAATAAAGTTATTTTCTTCAATGAATTATCTTCATAACAAATAAAAATTATTATTTAATGAATTCATAATTATAAATAATGTAGTATAATTCATATAAAATATATTCTTACAAAATTAATTTGTCATAATTCCAGTGTCAAAATAAGAGAATTAGAGAGGGGGGGTGGGTGGCAATAATTTAGGTAATTTATTTTTAATTTGTTAAGAAACTAGCCTTATTATCAAGTAAAACTAGATTTACAAAATATAAATAAATTAAGATAAAAAATTGAATTTTCAAAGGATGTAAGTCAAAAATTGCGAAGTATTTCAAATTTTTTTTTCTTATTTATATGCATTTTTTTAACATGGTCTCTACATTAAAATAAAATAAAATAAAATTGAAGAATTTTTGCAGATTGATGTAAATTAAAAAAAGTTAGAGTGCTGTTTTGCTACTCAGGTGTTTTTTCCTCATCAGAATAGTTTGCTTCAAGTAAAGGAAAAATGAATTTGAAACTACTAGAGCCATAGGTTTTGTTTCTAAGTCTTCATTGAATCCATCTTTGAATTTGTCTTCTTTTTTCCATAATTCGAATGATTTTTTACTTATAATATTATCTTGATAGAACTTATAGAACAGTCTTGATAACGTACCTTATGGAAAAACAGTGATATTAATAATAAACCCAACAATTAAACAGTTAACTAACCTCCAGGATGTTCAAGTGCAGCAGATATAATTTGAATGCCGTACAGACATTGTACTTCTTTTGCCTGGATTTCAGGGTCTGGAAGTAGTTCAAACCGAATATAATATTTCAACAGTTTCATATGAACATGATCAAAGACATCCTCGAATGAATGATTCGGTTCTATAGGTTAAAAATTCATAATTATTAATTGACTTATTATTTTATCATAACTGTAGAAGAAGTGACTTACTTGAACCTACGATGATAATAGCTATAGTTAGTGCTCGCACAAACTGAGGGTATTTTATTATTTCTGCACTAAAACAAGTCTAAATTAAAAAAAAAAAAATTAATAACAATGCTTATTAATTATTATAAACATGCATAATACAAAATACACTAATTTAAATTGGTTGGCTAACTATTTTACTCACACTTATCCAACTACGCATTACATTATAAAGTTGTTTACTATCAGTCATCTTCATTTTATCATACATAGCAATAGATAAAAAGAATACTCCAATTCTCTAAAATTAAATGTATTAAATACAATAGAATAAATAATACTTATAAAATGTTTAAAAACTTACATTATTTTCAAAATATTTATTTATTTGGTTATTAGGCATAAATACATCTAGAGGAACATATTCTGATGTCTTCCACTTATTGTAAATCCACAGTATACCACCTAGATGCTGAAATGACATTAATAGTAGTATAACAGATTAGCAAACTGAGCATCATAATATTTATAAGTTTATAAAATATAAGTAAGTTATAATGAGATAGATAATTTAAATAATCAACAAATATAAGTTACACAGTATCATGGATTAAATACCAATATATAGAGGTAACATAAATGCAACCATTTATTGCTTATAATATAAATTTAGATTCAACTTACAAGTGGCGAAGTTATTGGCAGGATGTGGGAATTAGGTATGAACTCATTTCCTGCCAATATGTACCACTAATGATTCAAATCTAAACTATAATAATAAGCGATAAATGATAGCATCATTGTTGCCTACTTGCCTATCTATACACCTATTTAATCTATGACAATATCCTTCAAATTTAATTACATCAAAAAAATATCTAAATACTAAGATTATATTTTATGAAATTGTACAAAAGGTTAACACTCTGTGAATAAAATTTAAACAATTAGGTCTTTCTGAACAATTAATTGTAATTACAACAATTTAGGTTAATAAAATTCACTAAATAGTTAAATATTAATTAGGTGCAAGACTTTCATTAAAATATCAAATTTTGTCAATTAAATCTTCTAATATTCTTAGAAAGTTGTAAATAATATGAGCGTTGATTGGTTTAGAATTCTCAAAACAAATGTATTAAAAAAGTTTAAGACGTGCCTACTTCCTTTTATGCATATTGAAACATGTTTATTACTCAAAAAAGAAAATATAATAATAATAAACTTACATAATCTTAAATCAATTTGATCCACTTAGAATCTAATAGAACAAATAACTTTAAATACTACTGGCACTTACTTCTTTAATGGTCTGCGTTTTCATAGAACTAAGAATTTTATTTAATACTTCTGTGAAAAATTTACCAGAGTGGTCTGGTCGTATTGATGTACAAGAGTCTTTTAAATTGTTAAAATCGAAGGAAGCATTTCGTGATAATAATAATGGAGCTAAAAAAAAATATTTAAATTAAAGTGTTGTATATTTCAAATACTTACATAAATAAAAAATTACCAACGATGGCAGCAATATACGAGAAAAATTGAGGGTAATCTATCAAATAATCATTCCAATCTTTAAGAACAGCATCAATTCTTTAAATAAAAAAAAAATCATATTAATTACAATGTTATAAACCAGTGGTTCTCAATCTTTACTCAAGATATTTACCCAAATTTTCATATGACCATTTTATAAATAATATTTACTGGTAAAATAAAAAGTACTATTGGGGACTCTTATTAATACATTTCTTTTTTATTCATATTACTTATGCTAATAACAGGTCATAATATTAATTAAATTCTATTTAAAAATAAATATTTCTTTTAAAAATTTTATGGTACATAATTTTTTTTAAAATAGAATAAAAATAGAAACTTAATGACTTCCTTGGTCTTGATGATGCTTTACCAATGAATCAGTTCAAGCTCCAATGAAGTAAATAAGTGAAACATCAAGTTTCACAAGCTTCACAATATTTGGTTGTGATTGTAGTTAATGTCCAAAATCAGGATTCCTAACATAAATATGTTGTTGCCAAAACAAAAATTTTATTAATGCTTCTTCATAAAGATTGGGAAACTCATTTCTTAAAGAAATTCAAAATTGATTTAAATTTTTAGTACCAAAAGATTGTTCTAATAATTTATCTGACAATAATTCTAATAGTTGGCTTTCATTTAGTGAAGATAATTCGTATTTTGTGTAAAAACAGTGTAAAAACGGGATAAGAATCCACATATTATTTAATCAAATGGCTTGAGATGCTTTAAAATTAATACTTTATTTTGACAAATGTGTTTTAATTACATACTGCCATTACATTAATTTTATTTTTTTTATAAATTTTCTTCAGTCACATTAGAATATGATGGGAACATCTCAAACGCATAGGTAGGCACTACAGGTAGGCAGGGACTCAAAAATAAAAATTGTACATCAATGTTTTAAATTTTTGCTAAATTTAACATTAATGGTTACTCAAAATTGGGTCCCAACCCTATAGTTGAGGTCGTTGAGGACCCCTGTTATAAACTATGAAGTATGAATAAATAATTACCCTCGAGTTATGGCCTCCACAGAAATAATTTTTTTAGATAAAAGTTCTGCAAAAATTTTTCCTGCCACTGTTGTTCTAGTAATTGGATTACTATCTAAGGTCGTAAGTGACATTGATTTCACAAACTCTTCATGCCTTGTGCAGATCACCGAAGTTTCATCTTCCAATAATAAATAAATTATATCCTGTATAAGAAAGCAAAATTATAAGATTATAACTAATATTTCACCTTATCGTAATTGTATTTACAAATGATGAATATTTTGTTCTTCTAAGTACATACTTCTAAATTTTGCATTTGTTCATATTCAAGAAGGATGTTTTTACATTTCATATTAATTTTATTAGCCATTTCTATGCTCAATAAATCTGACACTGGTTCTTCAACAGTCTCTCTGGGCTGTTGTAAACCAGAAGAATTTTTTGAAGGAGTGGGTTGAGCAAATTGAGTCATCATACTCGCTAGGCCTGACAAAATAAAATTATTAAAAATAAAGAAATCAAGTGTATTTTAAAAATGGTTGAGTTACTAAATGCAATACCAGACATCATTCTTTGTCTTTCTTCAGTTTCAGATATAACTAGCTTTCTTGATGTGTTTTTATTTAAGCTAAAAAATATTGTAAGGTTATAATAAAAATAATTATTAACTCAAAAATAAATATACTTACATAATTTGTGGAGAATTTTTTGATTTGTTATCATTAATAATTACTGCAGTTGGGTTACTGCTAGTAAGTGTCATGTCTTTGCCCTTGGTAAATGACCGCTTAAATGGGCCTAAGGTTGTTCCAGATGTGTTTTCCTACGGAAATTGATTATGTTTAATATTTTATTCAAGTTATACCGTATGTATTGAATATAATACACATATTATTACCTTGAAACATTGTAGTTTAGAAGGGTCAATAGTGTAATTGTGTTGCTTATACCTAGTATTATTTTGAACAATATTCTGCTCATTCTTATATCCACCTAAAAAGAACATATAAATGATAACTATTATATTAGTTGATAATGTAGTTTAATATTTTAAAAGTAAATAAAAATTAAACTACTATGACTTAACAATGTGTTTTTATCACAGTGAGTAATTACTAATTAATCAATATTTAATTAGATATTCAGTGAGAAGAATTGAAGATTAGACACTTAAAAACTATAAAAAAATACAAAATCATATTATTTATTAAACATATAATATAATACTGATTTGTTTAGTTACAGAAATTTAAGATACGTACGGTGACTTTTGTTTTTGCCTCCCCTGAATTTGTCATCACCACGATGGTCATCTTGTTGTTCAGGTCTATTATGAGCTAGTGATATAGATTGTAGTTCAATTGCTTTACTTTTGACATCATTTTCTATGTCGTTTATCATTTTGGGTTTGCTTTCGATACGCCTGGGTATCCATTTATTTCTACGTAAATCAATGATATCCTGTATCATGAATTTTATTCTAGATGGAATCTTAGATTTCATGTTTCTGGATGTTAAATCTTTCAGTTTATCAAAAGTATCATTTAAACTATACGACTAAAAACAATAAAATATATAGAGTTAGTAAATCTTAAAAGTAAGATCATTTTCTATGTAACTCGGTTATTTAAAATACTTTTATTTTCAAATTATGAAATTTTACATCTTCAATTTGCTTAAAAATTAAAAAATATGAAAACCAATAAAATATAAGAAAAAAAAGGTTTTTAACCTTCAAGTTTTGTAATTTGTAATTTAAAACTAAAATTAAAAGCCAACTTAAGATTAGTAGGCTGGATGATGTCATTTTGTTAAACCTTATTAAGACAAAATTATAATTGGTACTATCCCAAGTTAATACTTCTACGATAAAAGTTTTTTTCTCAAAAAAAAAAATCAATGTATACTATAAATTGAAAAATTAAAATTATCCTTTGCTATTAAGCTTAACCAAAATACATTAATATTCATGCTATCAAATGCATAGTCAGACTAATAAATCAATCATTAGAAATGTATTTTATTTTATTATTGAAAATTATTATGATGAAATTTCAAAAAAAAATTAATTAAATATTTTAAGTAAGACTATAATTTCTTATTAACTAAATGAAATTAAAAAATGTTAAATTTACTTGTTCCAATTCTTTTCCAACAGTCTTTAATAAATTACATAAACACTCAAGTGGTTCTTCAACATGTTTAGTGACTAAATTCTCGATGCAATACAACATAATATTTGGGGAAAGTATTTTTTGTTTAAATAATTCACCTATAAATCTAATAATATACAATAAAAAGTATAGAAGCTTGATCTTCATTTACAGTGTATATTATATTTTTTTTTACCTGCAATTTCCTACAGAACGTTTGCGCATTCTTCTTTCATTTTCTTCAAATTCGAATTGAAGTTCTTTTTTCTTTTTCTAAAAATTATAGCCATCACAAATTAACAATAATTACATAACTATGTTTGTGTGTCATCAAAATTACTGGATTATTGCACGAATTGATTTCAGTGAGTTTTTTAACAAAATCCATTTCTTGGTCCTTATATAATTCAAATAGGCTTTGGCATTTACTTATTATTAACTTCTTAAAAGTTACAGTTTTACCATACTTAGAACTAACTTGTACCGATTGCATAGCTGAACATAAAAATGAATAAAGAGGAGCAAAACTTTGTTCTTCTATTGCCTGAAATTAAATGATAATGAAAAAATGTTAGATAAATAAATAATGTTACCATTTCAGTGAACTTTTTACGGTTTATTAAAGGTAGAAAAGCTTTTAATAAATCTTTTAATATTCTATTAACATTTTAAATGTTAACTATGAAAAGAAATACTTTTATGAATTCCTAACTAAAAATAATTTGTATATTTTTGGGATTTTGATGAATTTTGTCAATATTCGAACTTAAAATTGTGCGTATGTATCTTTAGTATTTTTGAACTGCTAATAAAGAATCATATGAAAACCATTCTGTTTAATATTCAAACTTTCTTACTAAGTGACAAAGTTTCTATCGGCAATAATTTAAAAGTTTCTCACAAAATTCGAAAAATGTCTCAAAGAAATGAATAGCTCAAATATAGTCAAAATAGTTTGAAAATATTATCATAAATGAAAATGCAAATATACAAATTTGGTGAAGAATTCAAGTGGTTAGCTCAAAAACATTAAATTGATTTTTTCAATTTTTTTTTGGTTTTTTCCACAACAAATTAGATTCATTATACCAGAAAAGATGCTGATGTAAAAAATTGGAGCATTTTTAATACTTCAAATATTGAATTTAATTAATTCATTTCAAAATTCAAAAAGTTAAAAAAAACACACATCATTGTAACTTTCAGAATTTAAAACTATTTACCAATATATAGATCAATCAGGAGTACAAAAACGAAATAAATGAATGAACATTTAAAACAGTTTTTATAATTATTGTGCCCTTGTAAAAAGCTAATTTATGAAATAAAATAAATGGTTCATCAATTGCATACGGGATACCTATATTACTTATAAGAAAATTGTTTTACACAACTAAAAATATGGGAAATAATTTTATTTTTGCTTTTTCTATGTATATAAATTATTTAATTTTAAATATATTTTTTGTATATTACCTTTTCAAAAACTAAATCAATAGTTTTCTCCAGACGTTCAATAGTGTTAATTGGCAATGCTTTAAAATTCTCAGTTAATGAAGCCATGTTATCAGGAGTTATTTTATTCAAAATTGATAAAACACTTTTGTTTACTTCCTGTAAAAATATAATTTACACAGAATGAATAACAATGATATTGATTTATTTAAAAAAAAAAAACCCAGAATCAATTCTCGCTAAAATTGTATAGATAAATCTTATATTTTGTGCACTATTATGTAAAAAAAATGTAAAAAACAAATAAATTGTTATCAACTAAAAGTATATGTTTCTTACTACTATTAACTATTGTATGATAATACTTGGTATTTGTTATATTTTTTATGACTACACCACACCATATATTACCATAAATTTAAAATAAATTATACTACTAAGTTCAACTAATAAATGATATACATTGTTGTGTAAATTTAATAAAATGTAATTTTAATTCCTACATCATTCTTTTGTTCTTCTTCATTTTTTATTTTAAGTACTTCAGACTTGGTGGCTTTTTTAGCAGCTGTTGGAACCCAAGCATTTCCAGACTGATTTAATTTAATTTCTTCTCTTAAGGAAAGAGATACATGAATAGTGCTGGGTTTTACTGTTTTTCCTTGACTACTATTGAGTTTGGCACCTGGTTTCTAAAAATCATAAATACAATATTTTTTAATTGATTTTAAAAACATTATCAACATTATCCAATTGTACACTCACCATAATAGGCATATCACTACCACATTGACTATTACCCGGTTCAAAATAGGAAGGCATAAATCTAGTTGTTCTAGCACTTTGAAATTTTGGTAAATTACGTACCATCCCCTAATAAATTTTGAATAATAAAATACAATAAATAAGTTTAAATATTAAAATAATGAATATTCATTAAAAAAACTTACACCTAAGCAACTTATGTGTGGTGCACTAGGAAATGTTGTTAAATTAGTCCAGTTACTTAATACATCAGGTTTCTTTTGACAGATGGCTTCACTACCAAGTTGTATTAAAAATAATTTAGAATACACTTTTTTTCCAGTTGGGTTTTTAACACTCCACTGTCCTATATAAATATAAAAAAAAACCTTAGTACTTGTGTAAACATAAGTAAAAAAATAAACTAACCTTCAGCATAGGGTAAATTTTCTAAATAACTGTGCAACTTTGAAGCTGTATTTTCAATAACGGGTTCGTGTTGAATTAACGTTTTTTGGGTCTCTTCTGATTGCTGTAATAACTCTCCCGGTTTTAGAATAATTCTCTTTTTTTCTTCATTTTCAAATTTATGATTATTATTCTTAATATCCTTGTTTTCTGGTTGTTTTAAAATATCCTATAACATATATTTATGTTTTATATTTATTATATTAGAGTAAAAATGATAAAGCTATCAGCTTTACATACGATTAATTTACATTAATAAAAGGGTGCTGAAAGTATAGACTGTATTCTATCAGCCAAGAGATTTAGTCAATAAATCAATATTTTAATACGTATCATACTTTTTATTTAATCAAAAATTTATAAAAATACAAAATAAATTGTATAAAAATATATCATTTTTATTGGTGGCAAATACTTGGTTAAATCAGTTAATTTAATATAATGTATATATTAAAAATATATTTTAAACATATATTGCGTTTTAACAGATATACTGGAGTATGGAATTACAATAAGTAAAGTAATAATTTTATACTTAATTATTTTCAATTTCAAATATTTTATTAAATTTTTAATTCAATAAAAAGTTTATTTAACAATCACACTATTTTTCAACTATATGGTTTCTACTTGGCTAGACGATTAAGTTTTTGACAGAGTTATAACAGACCAGTAACAAAAGAATAATTGTAAAAATTTTATTTCACTCACAAAAGTTTTTGAATCAATAACAGACTCAGTAGTAGTAGTTTCAATTACATTATCTATTTTGAGTCCATCATTGGCATCTAATTTCACAAAAATGTTTTGCTGAATATTATTCTTCTTCATTTTCTTTTTTTTTTTTGGTTTAACTACAAAATATAATAAAATCAATTACATGAAGTTGATAGATTTATTTCAAGAAGGTAATATGATAATAACATTTTAATTAATATCATTGCAGATGTTTAGCTCAAAAGCCATACAGACGACTAGAATAGTCTGAAATAGGCAATAATGATGCACTACTAAAAATTGGTGACAAAGTATACATTTATACATTACTGGATCATAACATTGTGTCAGCATCCACAATTATTTAATTATCAAAAATATGAAATAAAATAAAGTTTAAGATCAAAAATACATACCATACCTTACATAATTTAACTTTCTAAATACATATTACAATATCAATAATTTAAATAAATATAAGACTGGTGTGGACTAATTGAAAATAAAAATGTTATAATTTTAAATTGAATAATAATAATTATATCTAAAATGTTAACCCATCATTTGTATCGTGATGAGAGCAGAGCTCACTTATTTAGTACTGGGGAACCACTTGATTATTTATTATTTGAGTCTTGTGATACTATTAATACCTCCAATCAATAAATTTCTAAAAACAATTTTGTAACTATAAACATTGCATAAATAATTCTTGATAATTTATCGACATATACTCAATTGCCGGCCACTGGTATAGAGTATAGACCATTCAGCTTAGATAAATAATATTATATCATAATTTATATACAGCGGATTTATAGAAAGTTATAAAAAAAATTAAAGTATAGGAAAAAAAATGTTTAAGACAATTACATACCTATGAAGTATATTTTATAAAACCAATGACGGGTTAAGTAAAATTCAAATTTGAAATAAAAACACAATTAAATTAATGAAAAGTATTTAAAAAATGCATATAACTTACTTGATATTTTGGAACAATCGTCAAACTTTTTGAAATAAAAATTGATAAGTACTCATTTATAAGTCCTCTTCTTATTAATTCCAAATATCTAAAATGACGTTCTTCCGAATGATATTAATACTCCGAAGTAGGTTATTGTATATAAACACTTCTATAAGAATTAAGTTCTAGCCCATTCACTTGATAAAAACACGGATGATGCATTCAATGGTATGAAAAATATTAAAACAATATTTGGAAAGCAACTAGTGACCTTGCAAACAGTTGATTCTGGTCAATTATACCAACTGCTTATCATACGTAAACAATTTTAATGCATGATAAATCAGTGTAGCCGTTGTACAATACTATAATTTTGAAATTAATAAAAATGAAAATGAAAGTGAACCTAAAATTCTATTCTAACAGCCTGTAGCCTAGTACTATGACTTGCAGTAATTACAACAAATGTTGTTGACTACTCTCTGAACCGTTTTTTTTTCAGTGTAGTTACACGATTGTAATAAATAAGGCAAAAGCGCAATGCAAATAATAAAAAAAAATAGGCATTAAATATTAATACCTTTATATATTTAGTCTTTGAACGAACTTCAGCACAACCCGATGGACCAATATAATCACATTATATAGTTAGTATTGTTTTGATACTTGATGATGGATAATAATTTATCACAGTGTCTAGTATACAACGAAAATAACATCGAGTATCAAAATAATATGGAAATGCTCCAGACTTGTATGGCACTACACATGCATGCCTGATATAATCTGAATAGGCAACTCTAGTGGCACTCAACTTGGAACAAAATATGAGAAAATGACAAATTATACGGCGTTGAAGATGACAACAACCATATTATTATTGACTATTGTATATCTGTATAAGGAATAAGAAGTATGCTTGACAGTTGACACGATTTGTGTTTTCATTTTAAGTCACGCATGAGCATCACCTTGTGTTTTTGTGCATACTGCAATTTTAAGTATACCTAGTGTACAATGTTTTCGTCGATGTGAAACGAAGTTTTTCTCAATTTTCAAATTAAAAATGTTTTTAATAGGTATTTTATATAAAATAAAAATGTTTTAAATAATTTAAATAATTAAACTCTTTTCTGATCTGTCTACATTAAAAAAAGTGTTTTACTCATTAGTTCATTGCATTTAGGTACAATGTATATTTTTAGAATTCAATGATCAAATAAAAAGTCATAAACAAAAATAGTTTAAATTAATCAAACCCTATCATTTTTATAATAAGTAGCTGATCCCGTGCATATTGTGGATTGCGGACCCTGTTAGGTGCATACTCTATAATATGTTTAATTTTAATTTTGATTTTAATTGTGGACACGCCGATGAGCCTTGGTAGGCAATTCGCATGAATTTGATTTGATGCATGCTTATACATCCGATCTGTCCCAATGACAACCAAAAATTTAATAAGAAAAGTGTTAAAAAAATACTAATTTCTACTAAAAAATAAAGAAGAGATTGTCTAATTTTATTTCTCGGAACAATTATTATTATCTGCACTCCGATCAAACACATAATCTGACAGACAAAAAAGGACGGGTAGCTGAAAACCCGCGGGCCGCCGTGCCGTACAATCTATATATATATATATACATTATACATATATAGATTACAATATAGATTACACGGATAGATTACACGAAAAGTTAGCTGCCTGAAGACTTGGATACATTTCCAAATAAAAATTGGTTTTCAGCTAAATATATGTTTTTTAATCGAGAAAAATTTCGTTTTACATAGACGAAAACATCAGGAATCGAGGTAGATAAACTTAAAATTAAACTAAGTCCCTGCTTGAAAAGTGTTCTGTCTCTGTTAGGTATATGTGTTGATGTGTTGATATGTTTAATATTTTAATTTTTGATTTCAAATTTTTTAAAATTTTATCTGATATATTTTTAAGAATATTGTTTTCATATTTGAGATTATTTAATTGATTTTTGGAAGAAAAGAACACTTTTTTCTGATGTCTTACAAGGTCTATGAGCTAGGCGAGTTACGTGAATCATTTTGGAGTTAAATGCGTTTGTATAGAATTTGCTGCTTTTACTACACGCTTTATTGAATTGAAATGATGTTGAAATATTATGAAAAGTAGTACATTATTGTGCTGCGTTATACCATTGAATCATAAAGAAAATAATATATTAATTTAATGAAAATATTTATTAAGCTTAACTTTTTTTCACTTTTATTGCTGTTTTTTCGTAGATACCTAGAGGTGCATGCCATACGGACATTATATTTTTTTACTGTCTTACATATACGATTAATATTATGTGTTGTATTATTTTTGTTGGTCCTTTATATTTTGTTCGAAATATCAATGTATTATTGTGCACTATTGTTTTGATCTACATGGTGTAAGTATCGATACTTAATGATAATGTACAAAACCACAAGACACCATTTCACAAAATGTACATTTAAACATTGATCAAAAAACTGAAATAAATAATATTTTATTTTTAAATCATTGTGTATTTTCAAGATATAAGTAAGGCAATTACGCCAGCGAGAGCCGACTCATTTTATTTAGTAAAAAATCGTATTTGATAAATCAATTTTTTTGAAAATTAACCATGGATATATTCAAAAAACCTAAATCATTGAATTCTGTGTATTGATGGTTCTGTGTACTTCTAATCACATTTTAACCCCTACCGTATGAACCTTATATTATAATATTTGAACATAATAACTACGTAGCAATTGAAACATTGTGTTGTATACTTGTATCCAAGGTATATGGGCAAAAAGAAATTATGACATTAAAACTTAAGTTTCTTCTTACGATTAAGGATTTGACATTAATTTAATCAAGCTGGTATCTTCTGGGGAAAAACTTTGGAGGAGTGTTAAATGTTAATCGTTCTTTATAAAATTTGTATAAATAACTACAGGTACCAGGAACGGAATTGGAACCAAATCCAGGCCGGGCGTTTAAGATTTATCCAGGCCACCCACCAAAAATTTTTTTCTCGCTGAATGTATTAATTTTACAATGATGTGTGTTTTTATGTATATATATTTTTGTTTCCGTATCTATTATCATGGTTTCGGGAAGTAAAAGTGCTTTGATTTTCTTCAACAGCAACTTTTCTGGTAGAAAAGTGAATCTAGTTGATGAATTCGGGAGGTGAAAATTTAAAATTTCCAATATTTTTCAAAAGCAACAGGAAAAACAAACAAAAAATTAAAGATAAACGGAAAGTTTTAAGTAAAACCATTTTTCGAAAAATTAGATTTTGGTTTTTAGTGTAACTCTAACAAAAATGAAAGTAGATATACATGACATTTTCACTGAATTTGTGTTACTATTTTCTGTACACCATAAAATTCAAAATATTTTGACTAGTGTTGAACTTTACAGGCGTATGAAATATTCGGTTATTATTTATTTTTGTTTTAAACTTATGTCGATACAAAATGTTCACTCTGTCAAAAAACTTGTATATGTAATACAAGGGTATTCGTAATGGGTTGTTAATGGAAATTTAAAAAAAGGTTGAGCTGTTGATAAACATTTTCAGTTTTTATTTTTTTTTAAAATTATTTTTACTTTACCTAAATATCAATAAAATTGTATTGATTGGGTCAAAAAACATGAAAATTGAATACAAGACTCTTGTTATATTGTTACAATAGCAGTTGCAAATCATTAAAAACACATAGACAAGATTTCTGTTTTTATTATCATTTAAAGTTCAAATTTCGACAATATATATTATATATATCAAATTAAAAATGATTTTGTAGATAAAAATGTATGAAATGTTCAATTTTTATAGCTGAACATTTAATAATAAATAAATATAAAGAAATTAAAATCATTTTTATCACCATTATTAATTATAAATTAAATGTTTTCTAGTAGTAACTGAAAAGTTTAATACGTAATTTATATGTTTATTAAGTGATAATATTAAATCATGAACTTCAAATATTACGAGTATATTTTATTTCGTTTTTTTTTAATAGATTTGGGATGTATGAAATACAAAGCCCGTGGATACCATTTGTCTTCATAATCCGATTTCACGTGTTGATGTAGTAAATTGATAACATGAAATTGTACTAAAATAACAAGCGGAAGCTCGATAATTCGAAGTTTCTGTATATCGATATTTTTTCCGATCATTCATTTTCATATTTTAAATAACCACAGTAAATCGAAGTTTCTATATTTTTTTTGGTCCCCCGAGACTTCTAGACCCAAATTTCTATTGTATATACTATTAATTAATTATGTACGTACAAGAACTATACTAATTAATAACTACTAATAATTTATTTTATCTTTTCTACTGCATTTTTCGATCACGAACTTACCAGTAAACTAATGATAGTTAATTGTTTTATTGTTTACGTTTATCTTATAGTGGTTATTTATACGTTACCAGACGATGTATTTGTTTATCGTCTAGGAAGTAAGTTTAAAATGGTAAGAAGGCTGGTCTCTCCTTTTGAAATTGTACTTTTATTTCATTTATTTATTAACATAAAAGTATGTAAAAGTATATTTATGGGTTTTTATTTTTGGCTCTGGTATATGGGTAATCGAGAAAGGCAACGACTTGGATTGGTTGGTCCAATTTTCAGCACATACAGTGTCATAGATACCCGGTGTCTAGATTTGTTGTCCCTGTAAACTATTTGCTTACAGTACCGAATGTGGCTGGTCAGAAGTATGTATGTTAATTATTACTAAGTTTATCATATTATTATTTACCAATAACCATGATACATTTTGAGCAATTCAAGAGATAAGACATATAACCACTGCATTTTGAAGTTATAATTTTTATAAACGTCAATCTACGTTGTAAGTAAACATTTTAATTATATAAAAAAAAGGTGCTACTTTAGGGGCTGTAGTGTATTTGAACCAAACTTGGCCTAAACAATTTACTGTGTATTGTAATGTATAATATAATATGTAATATGCCTTTGTAATTTGCACGAAGATAAATATAATAATATTATATGTAGTAATAATAATGGGTTAAATGTATAAATTGTTGTAGATGGTGTAACGAGCTTTGTGGAGGAGTTGACAACTGGAAGACCTGCATTTGTGATCTTTGTATAAAAAAAAAATAAGTACAACATTATTGATTAAGGTAATTTTTATTTCTTATAAGAAAAAAAGTTTTTGTTTTATTTTAATATTACATATTGTCGTATATTGTAGACATTCGCCGGTATAATTATTTTACTTAGGTAGGAATATTTTTAGCAATTAAGATATTAGGATAGGTCAAGCCTAGGAAGCTAAATGTGCTGAGGCGACAATAATATTTTGTATATAACGTCGCCGTAAGCGCAGGCACGAGAAGTCGGGTCGTCGCGGAGTGTCGCTCGGCGAGGACGCGGGTACGACGACCGTCCGAGGGGCTGTCGTAATACGGGCTAGGCGATCCGAATTAGTTTAAGTGTTTTATTTATGTTAATTTTTAATAAAAAGTGTTTCCGACCCCCAAAAAATATTTGTTCTGTTTGAGTAGTCACGCAAATTGCCATACTCTTTTCTATCCAATCTATATCACTCAAAAAGTGCATAATATACCACAGTGGCGCCCAACGGGGTTCTTATCTACGGTCGGAAACATTTTTTTTTGTTTTGTGTTTGTGCCCTGGTACCTCAACCTTGGCACTTGGCGCGTTTAATTTTTGAAGTGTTTATGTACAAGAAGTACAACAGTTTTTTTCGTGTGGTCTGGGTAAAGTTCCCTTGGCACACTATACCTTTTAAGTCGAAGTACGACAATTTGTGTGTGTTTCGGGTGGAGTAACCTGAAGCGCAGACATTTTTTTGAGTTTTTCGCAAGTTAAGATAAATTAATTTGTTCAAGTGTTTTGGGTGGAGTAACCCAGGACGCGATTTTGTGTGTGCGTATACCGAGTGAAGAATACGTACGCGTTCGATTTTTTTCGGTCTTTCGGAAAAGACAACACTTGTACTTCGTGAGTACACCAATATTTTGTTTTGAATATTTTTGAAGTGCGACAGTTATATACATTTGGGTAGAATAACCCTGAGCAGTTTTTACTAGCTGAAGTAAAACAATTATTTGTGTGCGCGTGTATACTTATTAATTAACTAATACGCGTTGGTTTTTTGTCTTACCGACAAGATAACGTTTGTACCGCATCCGCGTGAGTTCAATTTTGCTAACCGTGCGTCTACACGTATACGCTAAGGCGAGCAACGATTTGAAGGTACATAGATACATATTATAATCAGGATTGTTAAATAACAATTTATATGGGATTTATTTGTTTTTTTAGTTTAATATTTTCATTTTCCTTTGTCTTTCAAAATTATATTTATTTTAAACAAAATATTTTCATTTTTTTTTAAATTAAAAATTGAGTAGTTAGTGCAGTTAAGTATAATATATTAATACAAATAAGAGCCCTTTTAATCCAAAATAAATTTCTTTAAAACCAATATACGTTAATATATCTCATTATGTTATTATGAATGACGAATATCATTTAAATTTAAAAATCTCCAAACTAACCGACATTTATTAATTTATACATATCCAAACAGTTAAAAAATACAGCTGCTGTTGACAATTTGAGATCTAGATTATCAAGATACTATAAAGGAGTTGTAGAACTAGACGATATTGAGGACACTCTAACTGCAGTAGAAAAAATCGCTATTCAAACGAAATCACTTAATAATAAAATTGAGATTAGAGATTAACTAGCAGAATCTAATCTAAGTGATTCTAGTACTACAGAATCAAATAACGAAAGTACAAAAACTTCTGAATCAATCTAAGACGATTTTAGACAAACTAACAACAAGTTAGCTATTAATGCAAATAAATTATCGGCCCAAACTGAAATAGTTTTAAATACCAGTAACCAATTATATCAAAATATACTAAATCAAAACATTGTTCACGATTATAATAACATAAATTCAGGTGAAAATTCAATAAAAAGGAAAATATTTACGAAGATATTGAGTTATAATAGAAACAAACAAAATACAATCGAATTTAAATAACTCCTTTTTCAATAAACCAATAATTTGTAATGAATGAAAAAGTAACCCTAGCTTAATCGGGGACGATTATGTATTTCTAAATTCATTACGTATTAAATAATTATAATTTGTTCATATTACCTCTCTGATCCTTGTATCGACTTGATTGTTGAAACCGCAATTCGTATTTAAGGTGTAATGTGAGGTGATTGATTGAAATATCAAAATAATTATATCCTTTTTTTTTATTTACTATTATAAAATTTTATTCAACTTTTTCAATATAATTTAACACACATACTTTAAATTTTTACATACGTTTATAACTAAATGTTTTATTATAATATCTTATTGCACGAACGATCTGCGTAGTCTTTTACACTCGCCTTTTATCGTCCGTACAATAACACGATAGTGACGCGTCTGGCCCTTGACTAGCAGATTAGATTCCTTATATAATACATTGTGTGTGTGTGTGTGTGTGTGTGAGTGTGTGTGCAATTACAGAAGATTAATAATAATCAAATACTTAAATAATTTAATCACAATTAAAAGATATGATGGCTTACATGCCCATCATTACATCCACCCTAGCCTTTTTCTGATGCGTCCTCGCATCAAAAGTTGAGTATAACAAATAATTCTAAACTATAAAAGCATGAAAGTTAAACAATGAAAGTTATAAAATTAGATACATAATATTTTTTTTACATATTTGTTTAACATATTTAGGAAAAGATATAAGTTAAGATGAAATTATAATAAAGATTTCAATTATAGTTATATAATGAAATATATATAATATAAAAAGGTATAATAATTACATTACAAATGTGTACATGTTTTCGAAATAATAATGAATATGCAATATTACTAGGAATTTATTACATTTTTTTTTTTTTTTAGGGTATATATAGTATGATTCGGTTGAGAGTTGAGTTGATTATGTTTCTTGGCATTTACATGGAATATGCATATGACTGTGTAGTTGGATTTCAAACGTTTTAACTTGTTTATATAGATAATTTTCTGATGTTTGGGTATATAGTTTTTTGTTTTGAGTATTGATTTATTTATTTTGCCTTGTGAACTGTGATTTTGATTTAAAGTTAATAGTGGTTGATCTTGTTGTTTATGCTGTTTTTGTTGTTGTTGTTCTTTTTTTGCGTTGTGCATTATGCAATGAGTGATGCTTGTAAATATTCCTGCTATTAGTTTTATGCTTAAACCGAATGTTTGATATAAAAGAGAAATGTTAATTCCTGTGTTAATGCAGGTTAGAATTATTTTCCATACAAAAAATATTCCTAGCAAACCGGATATAAATTCGCCAAAGACGGTAAACCAGCCCCACATTTTTTTTAGTTTGTTGTCAACCATAGTGCTAATGGTGTTTTCGTCAAACAATGAGTTAAGATTTAATCTATGATCCATTATTGTAAAGCCCATGGTTTGCCTTGCTAAATTTTTTTGAGATGCTTCTATTTCTTGGGGTAGTACTATAGGTATTGTTGAAATTGTTTCATGGTGTCATAATTATAAATTCCTGCAGTCATCAAATGTTCAATACTTTTGTATGTCCATGTCCATTTTGTAGAAGGTTTAAGAGTTTGTGGTCTTTTTATTTCTCTAATATTTTGTGATGTGGTATACCATTCTCCATCAAGTAAAAATGCAGATGGTAATATATGATTGCAATCTAATTCTGTTCCAAATTTTTGTAAAGTTCTTGTTTTAGGCGCCATGAAATATGATTGATTATTGTAAATAACTGGTAATTCGTCATAACAAATTGTATTTTTTTGTGAGATTTCGACTTCTACTGGTTTACATTTCAGTAGGTATATGATTTCTCCAGCCTTTAATGCAGTATATCCCGGACCTTCGCCCATAGAGTATGCGAATTCAGATAGGCTATATGTGGCTAATGTTGGTCTGTGTAGTAGTACTTTTCGTTCTAATTCACATTGTTTTTGGATTAGATCTGTGTATAAAGTTATTACTGATGCTTTGAAACGATTGTCAATGTATACCAATTTAGTATTTATATAGGCCATTAAATCTATATTTTTGGTTTTAAAGTAATGAAAAAATAATGGATCTGTAATTATGGTTAATTGAGAATGATCAGTTTGTGTAGCTGGTATATTGCATATATATGTTGATTTTATGTGTTGTAGAGCAAAAACGATTTGGTCCGATTCTACTAGATAAGTTCGAGTGGTTTTATCATTACTCGAAGTTATTAATGTTGCATGTCCGTCATATAGAATGGTGAATTCGTGGGTTTCACAATCATAAGTATTTGCGTCCCATACTACCTCCCCTTTATAATTATCCAAACCGTATTGGTTGGATAATTTTAAAGTTGAACCGGTTGGGAGGGTTAATGTGTTTTGTTTGTGGTTTACCACGGCCAATCCTTCGGTGAGAGTTATTTTATAGTTAGCTTGAACTATAGCTTCTTGCCATGTACCTTTCTCAGATGAAAATGTAGTGCCTTTGCAGTTTCCATGTCTGTCTACAAAACCGGCCAATGTGACGGATGATAATGTTGTTTCGTTAATTTTTAATTGTGTAATTATCCCTCCGTTTGGTAGGTGGTATGATAGTTTTTGGTGTATTTCAGAGCACCGAGCACTACCTAATTCAATTATTTCTGTGAAGTTTCCATTATCAACCATTTGAGCATCTTCTAAAAGTGAACATCTACTTATAAAGTAGTTTGTTATTGTTGAGCATGTTTTATAGGGTATTAGATAGGTATCTGTTTTTTGTAGGAGTTGAATTCTTTGAATTAATTGGGTGTTGATTTCTGATGGTGGTTCGCATGGTTCCACAGAGAGGCTATTAAACGATGTTATATTGATTTTTGGTCCATTACAGTCATATGCAATAAAACCATGTGCCATGTGTAATTGCAAAAGAATGAGTAGATGTGTGAACTTCATTACGATTATGTCGAATGTTGAATGTGAAATTCTGTCTTACAATGTATAAAATATATATGAAGTAGAATACAATGGTTTCTAAAACATACGTTATATAATATTAATAAAAATTATTTATAATTTATGTTATTTGCTATAATTGTTGTAAATTGTTATTAAATTAAAATTAAAGTTTTTTTTTTTTTTTAAACACATATTATTATTATATACCTATATACATTCTTTTAATTTCTTAATATTTAAATAATATAATCGTACATACTTAAAAATATATTATATTTTCACGTTATATAATGTTTATTGTATAGTTTGAGTATATGATTATCAAATTATTTTTTTTATAATTCTATTATTTTATTATTTATATTTTATATATTAAACATTTATTCTAAAAAGAAAGAATGTTAAATTTATTTTATTTTTATTTTTGCAAGTTTGATATTATTTTATTAATTATTGTTTTTTTTATTTTTTTTTAATTTTTTTTTTTATGTTAGGCAGTGATAGTTAATTATTAGTATTTTCTCTTGAGTGATATGGTTTAAGGCGCCTAACATGGATTACACTTCAGTTATTTTATTATTTAATACAAGTTCAATTTTATAATTTAAGTCATTGACTTTCTCTAAAATTTTGAAAGGGCCTCTGTATTTTGGTCCTAATTTGGGAGATTTTCCTACTTCTAAAAATGGGAATTTTATAAGAACTAAGTCTCCTGGGTTGAAACTAATTATTTGATGTAATTTGTCATGATATTTTTAATTCTTCACGTTGTTGTGGGGAAACTCTGTGGGGTGCATTACATTTAGGGTCCGTATAATTTGGTTTTAATTTAATTTCACAGGGATCTATATTGGCACATTTTATGTATGAAGTGTCGGTTGTAAAAAGATGAATACATTTTTTTATTAATTCCACTGCTTTTTTGTGTTGATATTTATCGAGATGTTGGGATATATTTATTATGGTTCCTTCATTGTCCATAAGTATTTCTTTGTCGTCGTAATTATTCGAAATTGTGTACGGTATTTTTGTGTAATTATTTACTGATTTAATATTATCGTTGTTATTTAGAGGTTTTTGGGTATCTATAAGGTCATTTGGAAGTGTGCTATTATCGATATTGTTATTTTTCTTTATATTATTTATCAGTGGTTGTAATGTCGGCATGTCATTAATGACAATATGACTATGCGGTACTTTGTTTGATGGTTTATCTGTTCTTGTCCCGGGGACCCAATGCGTATTTTTATTGACATTATACAAAACGATTGCGGGCCTATTATCATAGTTTTTCTTTTGATAGATAATTGCTGTTTTATTAATGTCATTGTAAATATAAGTGTCGTGTTCATAGTAATTAGCGATTGCGGCTAATTCGTCATCAGACATCCGATAATTAGGCAGCTGTGTAATGTTTAATATTTGTAATATATCGGCTATAGAAGTAATTTTATCTAATTTATTATCATTTAAAGCATTACACATAGCATAAATCCCACAATTACCATCTCCGGTGACATTTTCTCCGGGTTTATGATTTTAAAATACTGATTTTATTTTATTATTATCTTTTGTATTATTATTGTAATCATAATCTATTTTTTTAAATTCACTTATGTTACTCATATTGTTATTATTACTTTTATCATTTTCGATATTCTTAATGGGTGATTTTATTTTATTATTGGAATTATCGTCAATATTATTTAATTGTTTCATTGTTTCGAAAAAGTGGTAATTGTTGCGTATTAAGTTTATAACCTTTTGATGTTCTTGAGTTTTCCAATTATTAGTTATGTGTGTTTTATCTTTATGACAAATGAGAAGATCGATATTTGTGTTTAGAAATTCCGTAAAAATTGTTTGTTTGGTAATTGACCAGTTACATTTGTCTATGCCTGATGCAATTGTAGGGATAGCAATTTTGAAATCGTGTAATTTTTGCATTGATTTTTTTAAGTTCTGAATAGTAATTTTTATGTCATCATATTTAGGTTTATGAAAATATTTTTGTTTTGTTACTAGGTGATAAATTATTTTGTTTCCGATTTCTATTGGGATCGCGTCACCTATTTGTGGGTTTAACTTATCGAGTTGAGGCGTTGTGTTTCCAAATGTTGTTTTTATTCGCGAAGCTATTCCTTTAGACATTTTTAAGTCTGCAGATATGCAATGTGCAATCGAGTAGTCAGAATCTACAAGAAATATATCAGCTATTTCCTCTTTAATATTATTGATATTCGTGTTAGATAGATTAGTGTAAGTTTGTATTGTAGTTGAATCATTTAATGTTAGAGTATTATTATGAAAGTTGATAATAGCCTTATTGCTGTGTAGAAAATTATTTCCTATTATTATTTGACATGTTAAATTTTTGACGATAAATACTGATGTTTCAAAATTATGAGAATCGATTTTAAGTTTAATTATTGTAGATCCATAGACAGTCAATGGGTTGTTATTTGGGCCTGATAGAATTATGTTTTCTTTAATTATTTTATTTTCAGGGGGAACAAGCGTGTGTCTAATACAGCAAATATTGGCCCCTGTATCAATAGTTATTGGTACATCAATATTATTAAGTTTAGCACGAATGAATAAAGGTTCAGAAATATGATTAATTTTGTAAGTAGTTGCTGATTTTTTAACTGACGGTGAAGGGTAACAGTGAGTGTCAGAAAAACTGTTTAACCTATTTATTAGTTTTTTTTGAATCGAAAATTTTCTACAAGTTTGTGCTGAATGTCCTATTATACCACACAATTGACAATTAATAGGGTTATTTTTAAATCTACAATTTTCAATAGAGTGATTATTTCTAGAACAAATTGTACATTGCATTTTATTATTGTTATTTGAATTATTCTTGTTTTTAAAGTAGCAAAATTCCGTGGTATGATTATCTTTAAAGCATATTTCACATTTTTTTATATTGTTATTATTTATGTTGCTGTTCGGTATAAAGTTACGATTCTTTTAAAAATTATTGGGCTTATTAAGATTATTATTTTGAATTTGGGATTTTATAATGTTTTCCATTTCGTTTTTAAATGTATTATTATTTTCATTAAGCAGGTTTATTTTCTCATTAAATTCATTTGAAATTTGATTTAGTTTATTAGTGATAATGTCAGTTTTTATTTCGGCAGGCGATTGATTTGTTCCATCCGTTACCATAAATTCTACCATTTCGTATTTTCTTATATTGTCTTTTAACAATTTTAATGTTGAATTATCTAATATTCCAATATATCTGGCAATATTTGGTTTAAGACCCTTCATTATATATCTGGTTATTTCTTGTTGAGCCATTTCAGAATCAATACGTCTACAAAGTGATTCAATTTCATTAATAAATGCCATAGGGAGTTCATCATCTAATTGCTTTCTTTTATCGAGTAATAAGCGAAGCATGTCTTTATGAGCAATGTGTTCGAATTCATTTCGAAGTTGTTTTTCTAAGTCAGCCCATTTATTTAAATTTTGATTTTCGATGTTTTCGTAAAAAGTTAGTGCTGGGCCCTCTAAAAATGCAGGTATGTATTGCAATTTTTCTTGTTCAGACCAGCCATTAATAGAAGCTGCTCTGTTATACTTTTTTAAAAACGCATCTATACTATCAGATGAAGAGTCGGAAAATATGTTAGGTTTGAAATAAGGTTTTTTACTATCCATTTTATTTGTTTTGGTTTGATTATTTAAGTTTTGATAATTTTCATTTGCTATTGCAAAATCGTAGGAGCAAGATTCACCGTTTAAATATTTTAATAATCTATTTTTAAGTTCTGTAACTGTTCCTATACTATTTAAATTTCTTTTATTTAATTCTAAAATTAATCGAGGTTTTTTAAATTTGTTTATTTCATTTGATAATGAAGCAAAAATTGGTTCTTCTATTTCATTTTCCAGATCACTATTATTTTGTGACATTTGTTAAGAATATGTTTTATCTGCAATTTTATTATTTTTATTATTATTTTATTTTTGGGATTTTTTTTTTTTTTTTAAACGCGGTAAGAGCCGCTAGATGGACGCTACAGTGTAATCAATGAATAATTAGCACTAGCATAATCTNAGTAACCCTAGCTTAATCGGGGACGATTATGTATTTCTAAATTCATTACGTATTAAATAATTATAATTTGTTCATATTACCTTTCTGATCCTTGTATCGACTTGATTGTTGAAACCGCAATTCGTATTTAAGGTGTAATGTGAGGTGATTGATTGAAATATCAAAATAATTATATCCTTTTTTTTTATTTACTATTATAAATTTTTATTCAACTTTTTCAATATAATTTAACACACATACTTTAAATTTTTACATACGTTTATAACTAAATGTTTTATTATAATATCTTATTGCACGAACGATCTGCGTAGTCTTTTACACTCGCCTTTTATCGTCCGTACAATAACACGATAGTGACGCGTCTGGCCCTTGACCAGCAGATTAGATTCCTTATATAATACATTGTGTGTGTGTGCAATTACAGAAGATTAATAATAATCAAATACTTAAATAATTTAATCACAATTAAAAGATATGATGGCTTACATGCCCATCATTACAAATTGAAATAAAAACACCGGACCAATCACATAAAATTATAATAAAAGTAAAATAGTCAACAATAATATGATAATAAAACCAGACAACTTTTCAGGTTAAGGGGACATACAACATTTTTTTAAATAATATTAAAAGGCGGGATTAATAAATAATTAGGACGATAATGACAAAGTTAAACGTTTATCGATATTTTTAAAAGACACTGCAGGTATACATATTTAGAATATTTGCAAAATATTAAAACACATTGGACTTGGCTAGAATTAAAGAAAACAAATTCATTTTTAAATGAATTCCAACCGATCGGTTATTCTATCTTATAAAAAAAAAAAACCCGTATTAAAGAAATAAATCATGACTACGAGGAAATAATAGAGAATATAGTTACGCTTAGTTATTCAAATAAATTAAATGAATTTCAAAATTTTTATTCTGCAACAATGACAGGTTAAAGTTCTCATGTTCTCATACTGAAATTGCAGTAAATATTTTTTTTTCATTACCGGATAATATTGCAATTGGTCACTGCGTTAGTAAATGTCTTACAATGTCAAAAGGAATCGCGTTACAGTTAAAAAATAAATTCAACCAAGAAAAGAAGACCACCGAAGTAGCATATCTATAAAACAAAAACCAATGGATTTTGTATCTATTTAAAAAAAAAAAAAGTTTTACGAGGAGACTACTTATTTTAACATTTTCAATATGCTTAAATATAAATATATAATACATGAAAATTCCGAATATACAAATACCATGATTTACTGGAAATTAATGTAACTATCCAATTTTAATTTTCCCCCAAGATTTCCTAACACACGTGTACCTATAATACCTTTTTTTTAACAAAAACAATTAAATATAAGTATAATTATAAATATAATTGTAACATTCGTATATATGTATAATATTAATTATTATGTATGTCTGTATGCCACATGTATGTATAATAAAAAAAAAAATAGAATGTATTTTCAGCATATTCAAAAAAATTCATGAGTCACCGAGTCACCACAATCCACTGAGACAAGGGACGAATTCAATATTTTAAAAGTAGACAATTATAAGCATTAAACTATGACTATAAATGTAAACAGGAAATTAATTTTTCATACAAAAATACAACATTCAAGTAAAGATTTGAAGAGCAAACACATAGACATAAGAGTAAAAATTTCAAAATCAAAATTCCAGAAAAAAAAACCAGCAAGAAATAACCAAACCGATACTTCGGTACCTTATATAAAAAAAAAGAAGAAGAGGAAGCAGAATAAACCACTACAAAACTAATAAACAAATATATACCATAGATAACAGATTACCCTAAGAGGAACAATAACAAACGTTTACTGCTATTTTTTGAAATAAAAATATTTAAACTTCAAACCGAGAAGAATCTCTCAGAAGACTATTTTCTACTCCAAACAAGGACCAATCAATAGATTTTCATAAAATTATATTCATGTTTTTTTTTTTATCATTGACACATATTTAAAGTTTATTTTTGAAATAGGTAGTAAAATTAAAATTTACATTTAAGCTTAATATTGTATAGTCAACGACGCGAATAAGCCGAGACAGTAACTTAGTGATAAAATAAGTTAGTTTTTAACGTAGTATAAGACATTTTTATGTAACAATAGCCTTAAAAAATGAGGGCATTTTTTTCAAAAAACTAAGGGGACTGTCGTATATTGTAGACAGTCGTCGGTATAATAATTTTACTTAGGTAGGAATATTTTTAGCAATTGAGATATTAGGATAGGTCAAGCCTGGGAAGCTAAATGTGCTGAGGCGACAATAATATTTTGTATATAATGTCGCCGTAAGCGCAAGCACGAGAAGTCGGGTCGTCGCGGAGTGTCGCTCGGTGATTACGCGGGTACGACGACCGTCCGAGGGGCTGTCGTAATACGGGCTAGGCGATCCGAATTAGTTCAAGTGTTTTATTTATGTTAATTTTTAATAAAAAGTGTTTCCGACCCCCAAAAAATATTTGCTCTGTTTGAGTATAGTCACGCAATTTGCCATACTCTTTTCTATCCAATCTATATCACTCAAAAAGTGCATATACGACAATATTGTTTACTATATTTATGTGCTAGGCAGACATAATGTCAAGTTTTGTTATTATTCTTTTTTGAAAAAGTTATAAAAAAGTTATTTTGGTATAGTAATTTATATTTCTTATAAAAAAATAAGGTTTTGTTTTATTTTTATGATTATAATATAGTGTTTATGTTCTAGTTAGAATTGCCAAAAAAATTTATCATATTAATTTTTTTTTATTATTTTTATTAAAAAGTAATTTTGTGTGGTCATTTTTATTTCTTATATTAAAAGAAATATATTGTTTTATTTTAATAACTGTATATAGGTATTTACTACTTAGGTAAGTTGTATTTGTTGTACCTACTACTGCCAATGGAAGTAGGTTTTATCGCATATTGTATTGTGTTAATTATTTGTTGACATTTTGAAGAATTGAAAAAAATGTTTAGGTACATTTTTAACGTCCGTGAAGTTGGCCCACCCACTTCGGCTTAGCGGTTCAAAATCTTCACCAAAAGTTTGCGAGTTAATTGCGAGAATTTGCGAGTCCACTTTTAGAATTTGCGAATTAGCCGTTTTTGAGCTACAAAAAAAAATAAGAATTGGTGGGCCAAGTTCACGTAGCCCATCCATGGCACTAAAAAATTTCGAAATTTATACTAAAAGATGCGTCGCGATTTGCGAGAATTTGCGAGTTCATTATCAAAATTTGCGAGTTGACTCTTTACCCACAAAATTCAATTTTCGACCGTGAAGTTGGCCCACCCATATTGTCCTATAACTTTGAAATTAGTATCAAACGATAGCGTGTTATTTGCGACGATAACTGCTGCCCATCTATACCATAGTGCATACCGGGCATTATTGAGTTTCGTTCTTATTCCTTTTTCTTTCGACTTGGACGGACGTCTCTAGCGTCCAACTGATTCCTGTGATATTAACTTTATTGTTTAAAACTTAAATATGGAGTGAGGTCCGTTAAGTCGTCTCCACGGCGGATTACCGTTGTGGACAAATGAAGGAACGGATGATGGGTGCCTTATTATATATTGTTTTGCTTTTGTAATCTATGTTCGATGTCCGGATTTTGGATGGTATGCAAAATTTGTATTTATATATACATAAATTATGTAATGTGTACCTCGGCGTCGACGAACGACCGGGCCCCCTCGCGAGGTTTTTATTATTATTACTATTATTATGATCATTGTTGTTCTCAATGACTATGTCAATTGATATTGTTTTTCGTGCAACTGATTTTTTCCTTTTTTTTTGTGTCTGCGTTTTATGCCATTTTACTTTGGTAATTTGTACTATCTTCGCTAGGTGGTGTATAATAGTGATTACATGTATAGTATAGGAATGACGATTATTATTTCATGCTGTATATACCTACTTGCATGATTTTATTTGTTTCTATTTCTTGCCTACAAATGTGGCCATCATTAAATCATAAATAGTTTTTGCTAAATATAAACAGTGTTCCAACTTCTAACTACAAAGTACAAACACTAAAGACTAACCATAGGCACATAAAAAATCCCAATCTCTGATCCCCCCAGTATCGTCTTTGGTTTACCGCACTCGGTAGTTCTATCAAAGATTTCATCAAAGTTTCTTAGGTACCTATATACTACTGAAAGCATAATCTATATTAATGTTGACTCAAATTACAGTTACTATTTATTACCCTATATTCAAGACTATATTCAGCTACCTAATTTGTATGAATTTGATTTTTTGAAAAACCGTTTTTAAACATTTTTAATCCGTCGTACTTAGATCGAACGATTTTGAAAACTCAAAATTCGAAATAAAGAGTTTATTGAAAAATGAAAAATTGATTCTAATGTAGAATTACTTGTAGAATATTATAACCTCTATGATAATTTTTCGTTGGACAACCAGGTGACCGAGAAAACGCCAATGAAAATTGAAAATTTTGAAAAATGAAAATTCTCGTTTACAAACTGTTTACCGGGAAAACCGTGAAAGATAGGACGTTAGAAATAAACTAAATCACCATACCTAGCTACATAAATACATA